ATTTTCATGCATACATTCCTACGAAATGGAGCTTCTGTCCAAGACTTCAAACACACCAAGCTCAGAGCAGCTGAAGCGGGAAGGACAGAGCACATTTCCATTTGCCAAAGCAACGGCAAACAGGGATCATTTTTTATTTCAATCCAAATATTCTTTATCTTAGTTTTCATGATGCTGTAATGTTGTTTTATGTATTTTTATATCTTTCACATTTTATACTAAAGTAGGAAAGATGTAGCTGATAGGCTCTTTGTGATATGTAATAACTTATGTGTATAGATAGTTCTAGAAAGCTACACAAGAATTTGGAAGAGTCTTGGATATCTACAGTCTCAAGCCACATCTTCTATGAGTTAGCGAGTACAGTGCCATACCATGTCCAGAAGACAGTTTCACGGGAGTTTTCCCTTCCTCTGACTCTCACGTTCTTCCCACCCCTTCTAAATTTTCACTTGGCCTTGAAGGGGCGACAGACAATATCACCTCTTATAGAACACCTATGTTACTATGTTAGAATTGATAAAAATACTTAAGAACACAAATGTCCATGAGTGTAGGCTTATGCATGCACACATTCATACACACACACACACAATTTGGAATTGATGCCTACTATTGGAATGATTTTTTGTTTTGGTTTTGTTTTTTTGTTTTTGTTTTGTTTTGTTTTCCAGACAGGGTTTCTCTGTGAAATGGTCCTGGCTGTCCTGGAACTCTCTCTGTAAACCAGGTTGGCCTCAAACTCACAGAGATCCACCTGCCTCTCCTTCCCAAGTTCTGGGATTAAAGGTGTGCGCTGCCGCCACCACCTAACTGGAATGATTTTATATGAGTGCCTACAAGACAAAAAATTTCTCTGAAACAATAGCCTACCTCTGAGGCTTAAGTTTATATGAAACTGATTAAACACGTCTTGTTCTTGGGTAACAAGCTCAGAGTACTTAGGATTCCTCACAAAGGAAGAATTCCCATTCTATGTCTGTGCCCCTCACAGAATTGTTCTGTGGAATTACAGTGTTCTCTTGCAGAGTCAAGCTGTTTTCTTTGTATAGATGTAATTTGTTGAAAAGAGATAATGGTGATGATAGAAAAGCTATTTCTTATGTCAACAAATTGAAAAACTTCAAGTCAGATATAAATCACTCAGTTAAATGTGTCTTTGAGTAGAAAACTAGATAGTATATAAAACGATTCTCAGAAAGTATAATACCATTCTCTTTTCTGTTTCCTATCTGGATCTGAATTCAGTTAAAATATAGCCAACACTGAATGTGAGCATCCTAAGATATAGCTGCTGGGAACACTCATACTGATACTGTAAGTAGATGGTGACTGTGAGGAGTCTCAGGCTTTGGAAATAGCTCAGGGAAATGCAAAGTGGCTAAGCTGGATAAATTACAGTACAACCAATTAACAATGAATTTAGAGCATTTTTTTTTTAAATAGTGGAAAGCCAAGTTGTAAAATCAATAGAATTGTTGAGCTGTTGGCATACCTGTTTGGCAAACGCGACAGGATTTTGTTGTTTTTAATAGTTTATTTTTTTATTTTCTGATCATTGGTGTTTTGCTTGCATGTACATCTATGTGAGGGTGTCAGAAACCCTGGAACTGGAGTTACAGACAGGTGTGAGCTGCTGTGTGGGTGCTGGGAATTGAACCCATGTTCTCTGAAAGAGCAGCCAGTGCTCTTAACCACTGAGCCATCTCTCCAGTCCCAACAATGGATAGTTTTAAAGCAGGCAGTTTTTTGCCTTTTTCATAACTGCAGTTTAACGAACCCAAATGTGGGTCCTATCTGCCATTTTCCAATAGAGAAAACATTTGTTTGCATTTTTCTGAGTAACTGTACCTTTACAAAGTAGACTTTAGTTTCCATCAAACGTGGTAGGAAAGTTCTAGAAACGTGAAAAATTGTAAGCACCATTGTGTTGGTAACTCTTGCTTGTCCAGTTAACTGCATTTAGAATCACCTAGGAGACACACGCCTGCACATATCCATGAGAGTTTCCCAAAAGACTTCACAGAGGAGGGGAGACCCAGCCTGAAGCTGAGCAAAGCATTCCATAAGCTGGGATGTCTGAATGAAAAGGAGAAGGCAAACTGAATGCCAGCATTCATCTGTCTGCTCCCTCACTGTGTGTTCACTGTGAGCTCTTCCTCTGTGACTTTCCTGCCAGCGTAGACTGCACCCTAAAACTGTGAGCCAAGGCAGGCGAACAAATGGGGAGAGTCCCGTGCACCACACGCGGGTGTGGCCTTGCTGGAGAAAGTGTGTCAGTGGCGGTGGGCTTTGAGGTTTCAGAAGGCCCAGTGCCTCTCTCTCCCTTCCTGCTGCCTGGATGTCAAACTCTCGGCTACTTCTCCAGGACTGTGTCTGTTTTGCATGCCACCATGCTCCTTGACATGATAATGGACTGATCAATCCTCTGAAACCGTGAGCAAGCCCCGATTACATGCTTTCTTTTATAAGAAATGCTGTGTTCACGGTGCCTCTTCATAGCATTGGAGCCCCGACTAAGACACCACTTGAGTGATTGTAGGAGGTGGTACAGCCCTGAGTTCTCAGTGGTCCTCAAGATGCCAACCAAGAACAGGCCTCCGAAGGATGAGTTACAGAACAGGTTGCCAATTAAAGCAAACGTGGTGAATCTGGAAGGCAGGAATTGTGAGTACCCTCAAGGCCAGAATGAGTTTCCTCCCAGAGGCATTAGTCATGGTGTGAGCACGAGCTAGTTCCCTGCTGGAGGCATGGTGATGTCAGAACAATGCCATCTTCCTCTGACAGGCAGCCTAGAACATCTGAGGATGGAGAGGATGCCATGTTGGGAGGGTGTGGGGATGAGGGTGCCATGTTGGGAGGGTGTGGGGATCTTACATAGATTCAGTGACTCTCGATTGGCTGGGCATGTATACATGAGGTGGCCATTTCCCCCTGCGGTTTGCCCAGGCTGCTCCTGAATCCCTGGGCTCAATGAGCTTTCTGGTTTAAGTGTCTGCTAGTCCATTTTAAATCTTCTCTTTGAGCCAGACTATAGCTGTTGGTTCCACTTTCCGCTGTCCAGTGTTTCCTTAGCCACTTTTGAATGATGCTTACAAGGTTTCTACTAATGAGTATGACCGTTTTTATATGGAATCCTATGAAGCATCCTTGCAAACACATTTAGTCTGTGGTAAACGACTTTAAACTAAGATCTTTGTTCTCCTCCTTTATATTTCTTTTTTTTCTTAGTTTCTAATGAGCATGTTTCCTAAGTTTCTGACTAAGAACCTAGAACTCACAGAGGCCTGTTTCTCAAAGCCTGAATGCAAGGATTAAAAGCATATCCTACCCCGCCTGGCTTGAAACTGAATTTTTTATTGTAACCTCCAAAGCTGGCTCCCTTTGAGTCATTCTTGCATCAGTAAATGGCACCACCACCATTTTTCACATTTGGTTGCTTGACTTATTCTTGATCTGTCTTTCTATTCTTACCTCTCGACATTCCAACTGACCAGATAATTTTACTGGCTCCCCTTTCAGAATATGCCTTCCTCCAGCCACTCCTCCTTACCTCCCTCTCTACCCAGCCCCACAGCAGCCTCGAATCTCCCCCTTCACCCACCCGCCATCCATACCATTGCCTCTCTTCAGATGTCCTTAACCACTTTCTGTGCTTCTCTTGTCTTGGGTAATCTTGTCTATTCATTTTTTTTATTTTTAAGATGGTTTGTCAGCTGGGTGGTGGGGGTGCACACCTTTAATTCCAGCACTTGGGAGGCAGAAGTAGGCAAATCTTAATTTGAGACCAGCCTGGTCTACAAAGCAAGTCTCAAAACAGCCAGGGCTACCCAGAGAAACCCTGTCTCAAACAAACAAACATACGCAGGGTGTCATGATGTACAGGGTGACCTTGAATTCTCTATGTTTCCAAGGATAAACTTGAGCTGCTTGTCCTACTTGCCTCCACCCCTCAAGTGCTGGATTTACAGGCAAGAGTCAACACATGCAGTTTAGAGGATTTGTTGTGTTTTGAGACAGCGTGTCACTACAGATTCTGACTGGCCAGGAACTTACTATGTAGACCAGGCTGCTGGGATTAAAGATGTATTCCATGATACCTGGCTAATCAGTGTAATGGTTAGTTTCATCAACCCGATACATGTAGAATCACCTGGAGAGAGTCTGTGTGAGACTGGATCAGGTTGGCCTGTGGACCTGACTGTGGGTATTTGTTGTATTGCCTTCATTGATGTGAGAGGACCCAGCCTGAAAGTGGGCAGCACTGTTTCCTAGTGTGAGGAAGAAGGACTGTGTGAGGAGGAAGCTGGCTGAGTGGAAAGTATACATACCCGTAATACCTTTCTGCTCTTGCCTGTGGTTGAGATGTGGCTGGTTGGTGTTCTTGTCTCTTTGACTTCTGTGCTGTGATGGACTGCACACAAATTGTCAGGGTACTTTATTACAGAAACAGAAGTAAAAGGAAGTCCTTCATTTCTTTATAATTTACTTATTAATTAATTAATTGAGACAGAGTCTCACTATGTGGCTCTGGCTGCCCTGGAGCTTACTATGTAGACTAGGCTGGCCTTGACCTCAGAGGTCCACTTGCCTCCGAAGTGCTGGTATTAAAGGTGTGCGCCAGCACACTGTTCTTTAATCGGCATTCTCAATTATAGGAACAGCCAGGCTTACAGAAGACAATCTTACTGGAGGCAGAAGACAATCTTCACAATATCTTGCCATTCTGCCTGGTCCTCGCGAGGCTTTGCAGCTCCCCCCGTGGTGAGCAGTGGTAATAACTTACCTGAAACCCTGACCCTCCCCCACACACTGTGTCATTTGGCAGCTACAGGACTGAAACCATCCGTGTCTTCTCCTGCCCTTACAGACACCTCTCTAGCCCAGTCCTTTAGCCTTTGTAAAGTGTTCTGTGGTAGGCGATTTAATCAGAACTCTGAGTATTCTTCATTTTGATGATTAAGAAACTAATTTGTTATTTTGTTTTTCTTTTTTTCCAGGTGTATGGTGGCTGACGAAGTGAGTACCTTAGAGCCTTTTTCTAAAACTAGTGTTAGCTATCATGTTTATTTATTTATTTTATCTACCTCTGTTTTCTCATGTGACCATGTACCTATCTATGCAGTGGGAGAAACAAAAACAGAAATAAATGTACTTGTGTAAGAGCCATTTCCTCTGAAATACTTCTGTGTACAGTACATATAATTGTGTGTGTTGTATATAAACTTTCAAATACAATCAGTTTTGTCCACATGAAATACAAAGTTAACACTATGCCGAGTCTTCACAAGGAAGTCCTTGGAAGAGGTCACAGCCACAGTATGCTTTTGTTCCTTGTCCACATTAGTAACTTTCCCATTGCTGTGATGAAGTATCATGACGAGAGGAAACTTAGAGGACATAGGGGTTTATTTGGACTTACAGTTTCAAAGGGGTCGAGTACATCAGGCCCAACAAAGGCATAGTAACAGGTAAGGGAGATGTGGTTGCTTGATTCCATTTCATCTGCACACAGGAAACAGATAATAGGAAGTGAGGCCAGATTATAAAACTCCAAAGCTGGCCCTAGTGATGTACTTCCTTTGACATCACTCCTTTTCCAAACACCAATCAGTTGTTGGAATATGGGAAGACTTTCCCACTCAAGCTACCAGATTAGCCTCCACTTTGATGGCATAGAGATTTGAACATACATACTTACATACATACATACACACACACACATATGTATCCTATACAAAGTTTTCCGTGGAGTAAGACAAACGTTTGGTCAGTTTCTTAACTACCCAGTCTCTGGTGTTCTCAGTGGACATTAGCCTGTTTACAGAGTTCATTATGAACTCTTCGCCTGGTAGTCTTTTCCAAACATGAGTTGCTTTGTTCTTTCTTATTGACAGTTTCACAGCACTTTGCATGTTAGTTGTTTTGTCTTCTTTCAGACTTTTTTTTGATAATTTTTATTTTTTTTATATGCATGTTTGTCTGAATGTATGTTTGTACCAAATTTGTACCTGGTGGCTGTGGAAACGGAAGATGGCATTAGGTCCCCAGGCTGTTATGAGCTGCTACAGTGCTGGGAGAGCATCCTGTGCTGTCCACCACTGAGCCATTTCTCCCGCCCCCCCCCCACCATAGTTATTATTATTTAATGAGATTATTTGTTCTCTGTGTGTGTGTGTGTGTGTGTTGTGGCTGTGTGCACATGAGTACATTGCCTGTGGAGTCCAGAAGAGGGTGTCCAATACTCTGGAGCTGGAGTTACAGGAAGTTGTGAACCACCAGCAAGCTGACTTCAAGTCACCTGGAAAAGCACTGAGCATCCTTTTTTTTTTTTTTTTTTTTTTTTTTCAAGACAGGGTTTCTCGGTAGCTTTGGAGTCTGTCCTGGAACCTGCTCTGTAGACCAGGCTGGCCTCGAACTCACAGAGCTCCGCCTGCCTCTGCTGGGATTAAAGGCGTGGGCCACCATCACTGAGCTTTAACTTTTGACCTATCTCTCTAGTCCCCGAGAATTTTTTTCTGTTTATCCCAGTGAAGCAACATCTTGGTTCTTCTAGGGTTTAATAATTATGGGTGTAGCCTCAAATTATGGGTGTAATGGGTCCCTTCAGGTTATCCTATGGGCATCAGGGTTTTTGCAGGGGTTGAATGGAAGTCAAGAAATTGCTGTATTTCATGGTGTATCAGTTTCCTATCACTGGTATAATAAAGTATTACTGAATGAGTAATTTTAAACCTGTATTATGTCAGCATTCTGGAGGTTAGAAGTCCGAAGTCAGTGTGGTTTGATTGTGAGGGTACAACCTAAGATAGGTGTCAGTCTGGCTGAGCTTTTCAGAGTGCCCAGGGAGGACCTGTATGGAAGGGCTGGGTGCCTGGCGTTTCTTGGCTTGCAGATGTTATCACTTTATTTGCTAACTCCGTCTTCATAAGTTGCTCTCTCTGCCTGTCTATGTGTCTTCTCCTACACAAATCCTAATTAACCATTTAGAATTAAGGACTCACCCCTAGGGTGAAGTCAACTTAACTAATTACTGCACATCTGCAACAAATATATTTCCAATTCAGGTCAAATCCTGCTGTTCTAAGGTTAGGACTTTATCATGTCTTTTGAGTGGGAGAACCTACTTCAAATCACAACAAATAGTCGAAATTTTTACAACAGTCTTTTAATACTTTTTTGACCATAATTTTGCAATGAGTTTTCCATATGATTTTTGGTATGTTCCTGCTTCTTTCTGCACTGTACACAGTATGATGTGATTTTTCTTATTACTTAGGGTTTTCGGCTATTGACGTACATGAGACGTCTTATTTAATCTCTTTGGCTGCTTTAAGCTCCGTGTCTGTTATTTATTTTTCTATTCTATTTTCTTCCCTAAGTGAGCTATGAGTCAAAATACCACGAGTCTTTTATCTTAGTGGCATTCGTCCTAAACCCATCAATAATAAGCAGTAGTGGAGTAGGTGCATGAGGAACCCTGGCTGCTAAGTGTCCCTGTCACCCTAGCATACTTGTTTGAGATCTGCATTTGTTTTGTTTTGTTTTTCTGATAGTTGCTCACTATGAAGCCCTGGCTGTCCTGTCATTCACTCTGTAGACCAGGCTGGCCTCGAACTCACAGAGATCCACCTGCCTCTGCCTCCCGAGTGCTGGGATCAAAGCCATGCGCCACAGCTACATTTCAGTTTAATTCATAATATATTATTAACTCAGAGCTTGAATTAGTTATCGGTTTAAGTTTAGCACTAACTCCTATCATTTATTACTTTTTATTTCAATCTTTTCATAACTCTTACTAGTTTATGACACAGTATGAATTTATTTATTTTTTTTTTAATATTCTGAGATTAGGTTCTCAGATATCCCAGGCTTGCCCTGAACTTAGTATTTAACGGAGTTGTCTTTGAAAACCCTTTCTCCCTGCATGCCTTCCTTCTCTTCCTCCCTTCCTCCCTTCCCTTTCCCCTTCCAGCCCTCCCCTCGTTCTTTGTTTTTTTGAGACAGCCTCACTCTGTGGCTCAGAGTCTTGGGACTCAGGATATGGTTCCAGCAGGCTGAAAACTATTCCTGATGTGTATTACAGTTGCTAACACTTTTCAAGTAACATTTATTTAAACCGAGTTGAAATTTATTTCTTAGGAAGATTTTCTTATGTAACATGTTCTTTTAAAGTTCAGGTGTATTTCTTTGTTCTATTCAACTGGTTCCCTAAAAACAGTATCTCTCTCTCTCTTTTTTTTGACGTGGATAATATTTTATAAATGAGTACTGTGGCTAGCTTCTTTGCTTCCCAGTCATTTGTTTGGAAGTAATTTCACAGTTAAGAGTTGAAAAGACTCAATGACCTTATAATTTTGATATATCTTGTTTACTTTTATAGATCAATTTGAGTTAATTCAGTAAGGATCAATAGACTGCACTTTTGGGCCAATCCTCCACTTAGAGTTGTTTAGGAAACTTGAAACCATTATTGATCCTATTAAAGAAGAGAGAAGTTATTTAATAATCTATTAAGTAATATTGGGAAAATAGTGGGGTGTTCCTCCCCAAGGAAAATATCAGAAACCAGATAGATTTCAAGACTCATGATGAATTCATGATGACTTGGCATTAGAGGAGAAACTGCCTATGATTGTGTCTAACACAGATGTGATTATTCCTTTGCTGTGACAAAATGCCCTGACCCCCCCCCCCAAAAAAAAAGCCATTTAGGAGAGAAAGATTTATTTCAGCCTAGAGTTGCAGTTTACAATGTATCATAACAGAACTGAAAGTGGGAGGAGCCAAAGCACCCAGTTACGTTGTGCTCACAGCTAAGGGCAGAGAGCACTAAATGCATACATACCCAAGGGCAGAGAACACTAAATGCATACATACCCAAAGAACGATACTCCTTACCCCCAGTGAGCCGAATCTTCCCATGTCAATAAGCAAGGCATGCTACCCTTCAGACTTGCTACAGTCAACCCGTTCTAAACAGTTTCCTGGATAGGACTCTGGGATGCTAATCTGTGTTAGGTTGATAGTTAAAAACTAACACCAAAGTAACCTATTCCTATTCTCTTATGTATTCATAAAGAAGAAAACTATCCTGTTTGGGCCCCCAAAAATCTGCTTTGGCATGGTTTACTTTGAGGCAAAACAAAACAAACAAAATACTGTGCAAATATGCTCTGAGTGTATGAAATCTAATTTTAACTGGCATCTCAAAAGCTTTTCGCTTTCTTTTCTATTGGTGTCCAGTTCTTGTCTGTTTCCTTATTCAGCCTTAGCCATTCAAGTGGGAAATGTTACTACTTATAATATTTGATAACCTTGTGTTAGGATGAGGAAGTCGATTTTACAGCCTGACTTCTTTGACGACCCTCGTTTCTCATTTGAGCCTTGGGTTTCCTGGCCTCCTTTATACTTTCACCCTTACAGACACATGCAGCTCACTGGGGTTACCCACCAGTAGAGCAGAGGGCTTCCTGCATGCTAGGCAACTTGTAAGCTAACTTGTAACCATTTATGCAAACCAATTTGTAATATTTTTCCTTATGCTTTGTGTTTTGTTTGTTTGGTTTGGTTTATTTTGGGGGAGGTGGGGGTAAGCAGGATATCACACTGTAGCCCAGGCTGGCCTTGAACTCACAGAGATCTGTCTGCTTCTACCTCCCAAGTGCAGGGATTAAAGGCATGTGCTACTACACCCAGCTAATTCTTGCCTTTCTTTCCATCCTTTTTCTATAATTTTTTAAAAAAAAAGAAAGAAAACTTTTCATTGTGTATCTGTATGTTAGGGTATGCACTGCACATGTATGTGCAAGTCCCCATGGAGAGGCCAGAAAGTGCCAGATAACCCACTAAGTCATCTCTCCTACCACTTAATGCTTTCTCTTTAATCAAGGCCTCCTTTTTCACTTCGGTGGTGGTGGAGTGTGTGTCTCATTTTTTTTAATGGATCTTAGTTCTGAATATGCATAGTGAATCTTAGACATTTCCTAATCTAAATTTTCAAAACTTTCCCAATTGAA